AATGAATGAGAGAGTGGGGGAATGAATGCGACGGGAGAATAGGAATAACGGAATAAGTGTGTGTATGGAAATGGTAAACGGAGGAGAGAGTCAGAGAGAATGAGTCGGCTAAATTCTCGAAATACTACTCCCTATTCAATTTAGTGAGATCTACTTCCTCTTGTTTGTATATTGTTTGTGTTGTTTGATTTTTTTTAAAATCAAATATGAAGAATTTTAAGTTTTAATTAAACAAAAATAATAATGTATTTGAATATAAAAACTAATTTTTAAGATAAGTCTTGTTCAATAATTTTAAAATTTTATTTTATTGTACTATTATTAAACACAAATTGAGAGTAACTGAAGTTCAAAGTTTATCTAATTTGATTCAAAAAAATTAAATTGGACAAACATTGGACCGAGGGAGTAGCATTCTTTTTTAGATGGAGTGAGTATTTTTTTTCAAAATATGATTATTTTAATTAGATTTTGTAACTTAAAACTAAATTTAATACTATATTTTTAACATAATGTCTAATCATAAACTTAATTTTTTATGTCTAATCTTCCCTCTAATGCTGAAAGTTTTCCCAATTCTTTTTGACTTTCATTCCTTAATGTTATCATTTTTCTTATGTCAGCATTCAGCTCATTTCTCAATTCTCACTCATCTTCAACTCTCAAACCTAATTTCTTTCTAATTTATATGTCACATTGTTTTTCAAATATTTTATTACCTTTATTTTTTTTATAGCAAAATACTTGGCTCACTTTATTCACCACATATCTTATATCCTATCCTATATATCCTATCCTATCCTATATACGGAGTATATATGTAAAGTAGAGTTCTTTTGTTGTAGTGTTGACATGTGGCATGCCACATGTGCACCCACTAATGAGGTGGATATATCCATTTGAGCATTTCAATTCATTGGTCCATTTAGATTTTTTTAAAAGATCTTTTAATACATTTGTATAAAACTTTTTTATTTTTTAATAATTCAATAAATATATATTTCACCATTTTAAAATATACTCCATATTATATATATGTGTGTGTGTGTGTGTATAATTATTTTTATACTATCCACAACTTATTTTAGTTTATTACTTTTCAAAAAATGATTATATAAATTTAATCACATATGAATATTTATTAATAAAATACTTTGTTTCAAAAATTTTATCTTATTACATTATTTATTTAATTGCTACATATATTTTTTAACAAAGTAAATATAATAAAATTGGTTTAATTGATGGGTTACAACTGACAAGTGACATTATGACATATATACATTCTCTAATCATGTATCATTATGTAATTAATCCACTTTTCATTAAAATATTTTATCAATTAAAACTATTTTTATTAGTACTTAATTCAATGACCATTAATTTTGTAAAATTTGTTTGTTTTTAAATTAACATACCAATATATATTACACCAATTTAAAACATATTTTGTCACTATTAGAAAACTAAAAAAAATAAAATTATATTTAAAGAATCTCAAAAATTTAGAATATATACGAGCCCGTGCGAAGCACGTGGTTAACACTAGTTTTAAATGTATAACTTTTTTTCAATTTTTAAATATAATAATAAGATATGAGATTTTATAATTTATTTGAAGATGGTAATTCATTTTATGAGGAATGAGCAAGTAATGTGATTAGTTCAAATTGTAAAATAAATGTAAAAATTTAAAAATATAATATGTTTATTGCAAGACAAACATAGTTTCATACTTTATCAGTTTTAATTCTAATCGGTTTCAGGTATTATCATTTTCAGGTTTATTCCGTTCGGATATAATCGATTTAAGATTTAAATCGGATATAAATTATTTAGTTCGATTACAGTTCATTTCATATTTTCGGTGATAGATCAGATCATTTTTTGGATCCTTTCGGTTTGGTTTAGGATAACTAGTATCACACCCGTGCGTTGCACGAGTCATTTTTATGTTATTAAATTCAAATCATTTTTCAATGATAAAAAATGAGATGCAATAGAATACATCGATTATATTATTTTAAGGTACAAAACATCACTGCTTTACAAATTTCGAAAGACTTCTTTATAGACTACATTATTTGTACAATTTGTGGGAATATTGTATTCATTGCATATCAAAATCTTTAACCCACTACAGTTACTTACTCTTGAAACTGCAACATAGAGTTGTCCATGATTAAAACATGTTGGATTATTGTTACGGAAACCTGTGATAAACCCTAACTGCTCGTAGGTTCATCGTCAACTGCTCATAGCTTCATCATGAATGTAATGGCTCTGAAAGCTTTGTAAATGGATGTATTTAAAATATGATTTTTGCATACGGGATTATAAAAATTATTCATTTTTCAAAGTGCTATAACAAATTTAAATTACTATTACTATATTTAAATTATTTAATTTATTATATTTAAAATTACTATAATTAAAATTACATGGTAGTTAATACGGATTATATAATTATCTCGTCACACAGTTATATATTTAATACCTTGGTTAATTATTACATTTTTTGATTAAAATTACTATAATTAAAATATAGTAAAATATAGCCATTATAAAATATAGTCACTATAAGTAAAATACAGCCATTATAAAATTACTATTACAAATTTACTATAATTAAAATTACTATAATTAATTTGACACGGTAATTAATATAAAATTATGTAGTGACACGGTTATATAATTAATATCGTGATTAATTATTACCTTTTTTTATTATTACGTTTCCTGCTAGTATAATTTCGGACACTTTAAAAATGACAGTTAATTATTACCTTTCTCGGTTATTACCTTTCTCGTTATTAAACACACACACACAAATATATATATTTAAAGGATATTTAATTCTTATAGTAGTTATAGTCCATTTTATATTACTATAGTTTCGGACAACTTTAATTCTTACCATCTTTAAATA